TACCTCTTCAGAGGGGGGAATGTTGGAGGGGAGGGAGTGGGCATGGATTTGATCAAATCACCTTATATACATGTATGAAATTCTCAATAAAGTTTTCGTAAAAGTTAAAATTTTTTTATGTGAATGATGTGTGTGGATGCACACGCAGTGGCACACATGTAAGGTCAGAGGACAACTCTATGGAGTCTATTCTCTCCTTTTACCTTTACATGGGTTCCAGGATCCAACTCAGGTTGCCAGGTTTGTGGGACAAGCACCTCTGATGAGTCCTCTTGCTGACCAATTTGCTGCTTCTTTATTTATTAACTAATTTTATGTGTGTTATGCCTGCATGTAAGTGCACCCATGTTGTGCAGTGACTGTGGAGGCCAGAAGAGGGCATCAAATCCCTTGAAAGTGAAGTTACAGATAGTTGTTAGCCCCCATTTGGGTGCTGGGATCCAAATCTGGGTCCTCTGCAAGAGCAATAATCAGTGCTCTTTACTGTTGAGCCATCTCTCCAGTCCCAGCACACACATTTTGCTTCTTATAGTACAGTATTCTACTCAAAAAGTAACCACAGTTAGTAGTTTGTGTATACAAACACACACATTTGACTGGAATACTTTCACACTCCTTTTCTCCCCTCAGGCTATAGTCCAGGCTGTCCTGGAACTCACATAAGCCTCCTGCTCCAGCCTCCCAAGGGCTAGGATCACAGGCCCCAACTTTTTTTCTTCTTTTTCTTTTTTAAATTTTTTTTTTTTTTTTTTTTTTTTTTTTTTTTTGGTGCATTAGTATCTCTCAGGCTAGGGATGTAGATCAACTGGTAGAGTGTTTGCTTAGTGTGCAACAAAGCCCTGGGTTTGATCCCCAGACCATATAAATTGGGTATGGTGGCACACTTGTAACTCCAGCACTCAGGAAGCAAGAAGGTCAGAAGTGTGAGGTCATCCTCCACTACATAGTGAGTTCAAGACTAGCCTGGGATATATGAGACCTTGCCTCAAAACAAAACAAAATACCTGAACAATAAAAATAAATAATTAAATGAGCACTAAAGAAAAACAAGTCCAAGTTAAAAAATTTAAAAAAGAAACGGGGGCCTGGAGATGGCTCAGCAGTTATTGCAGAGGACCCAGGTTCAATTCCCAACACCCATATGACAGCTGCAAACCATCCTTAACTCCAGTTCCAGGGGAATCCGAAGCCCTCTTCTGACCTCCGCGGCATTGCATGACACGGGTGCACTCACATACATGCAGGTAATACACTCAATACACGTAAAATAAAAATAATAAATATTAAAAAAAGAAACAGGATCTCTACGGAGTCCACGGTAGCCTTGAACTTCTAAACCTCCTGCTCAGGTTCCTAAGTGATGGATTACAGGCATGCATTACAATGCCTGATTTTTATACTCCTTTATTTTGTTTTCCCCGGCTGGTCTCAAACTTATGCTAGTATTTCTGCCTCAGCCTGAGTGCTGGGATTATTGGCATGAGCTGCCGTGCCCAGCTGCACTTCTTTTCCAACTAGGATTTGAGCAGTTGTAGCATACCAACTGCAAAATAAAACCTGACTATTAAAGTGGCAGGGTAGCATACCTGAAAGAACCATGCCACAGTCAAATAACCTCTGGTTCTGATCTAGTTCTCCCTTCTAAACCATTCTTTATATCCCTCTGTACAGAATTTGAGAGTCTAAGATTTACTGTCCACATGACATATTAAAGTCCTTAACTCCATACTCTCCAGAACTGTATCTTAATCTTCTTAAGCCCCTTGCAAATAAAGGTGCAAACTGCATGAAAGGAGGGAATGCATGTGCTGTATTCTTTTAGCACTGCTTAAGGCAGTCAGCAGCGCTCTGCTGGGATCAGCACTCACATTTATCAAATGTTAACCTTGATCTGAAGTCTGACCTCAGACTGAGCACTTGTACTTACCTTTGCAAGCTCCACACCAAGACTTATGGATAATCACCATCAGGGGCAAGCCACTTAAAAACAAAGAAATGATATTCTAGTAAAATTCTTCTAAAGTACTCTAATAAAATGTGCAGTTTATGGAGACAAGGATAACAATGTACTTTTTATTTTCAGGAAAGAAAAGTGTTGCTTAAAAAAAAAAGCAACAAAATCCACCTGAATTATATTGGTCAAATGAAGCTCTTAAGCTCTCAAGTTTTAAATATCAACGAAGAGGCCCCACTGTAGTAGCCACTGGCTTTCTCCATGACACAACCCCTAAAACATGCTGCCACCATACCACATCCTATAACAAGCAGCTACAATAACCTAGAGTACTGAACGGTACCTACTAGCTCACCCTCCCCATTACACTTAGAACTTTTGAGACAAGGAATTCTTGGCTCTCTTTATATCCCCTATGCCCAACACACAGTATTACTGATATCGAACACAGCATTTACTACAAACTAGTACTAGTCTATAGATAATTAGCTCATTTACTAAGTGTTAAGTTATTTAGTTACCTCACCTTACGCCTACAAGTTCACTTGAACTTGTGCCTCTGCTACTTGCAAAGGCTTATAAACCACATGAGAAAGGCAGTGTAGGTTAGGTGGCAGGATGTAGGTAACCATAACCAAAATGTACGGAATATTCCCTATGTGACTATTATGTGCTATGTACTTTCCACGCATTATATTATTTAAATCCCCCAAACTCTAAGGTAGATGCTTTCTCTTTACTTAAAAACAGTATGTCAGAGAGAGAGAGAGCATGCCACAGAATACATGTGGAGGTCAAAGGATACATTGAAGTCAGTTCTCTTCTTCCACCACGTGAATCCTGGGGAATGAACTCAGGTGGCTGAGCTTGGTGGCAAGTGCCCTTACCCACTGAGCCATCTCACCAGCCTTCTTATTTCTGAGATATGGTCCGGTATATAGCCCAAACTGGCCTAAAACTCTTGGCAATCTCCCTGTCTCAGCTTCCTGAGTGATGGGTTATAGTCATACACCATCACACCCAACTGGGATACATACTATTAATGATCTCACAGAAATGAGAAAACTTGTCTGTGATGTAACTCAGTGTTAGAGCACTAGCTCAGCATGTGCAAGAAAGACCCTGGGTTCAAGTCACAGCTCTACCCATAAGAAAACCAAGACTTCAAGAGATTAAATGTTTGACCACATATGATCTAGGTTCTGCTGTTCATGAGCTATTAAAAGACTCCAAAACAAATCTTCTCTTCAGTTTTGAACAGCAATCTAGAATACACGGGTTTAAACGCAGGTCAACCAATAGCCAAAAAGCCTAAAATCAGAAATGAAGGTCAGAGAATCTCTTCAAGGTTGCCTAGTTCAAATCTACATTTCATGCATGAATCCTCTGGTATATCAGAAACAAAAGATGGTCCAGATTCCCTGGTGAGGAATACAGTATCAACCAAGGTACCCATATGTCCTAACTTTACAGCTCCAAGTATTTTCAGAGCACACACATTTTAGAATGTTTTAACCCCTCTTTTCTCCCTGGCAAACTGGAACTGGTGTTAGCAAAATACAATCCGAAGGCCAAAACCAGCTCATTGCCTGCTTCTGTAGTGACAAAGATACACCTTTTTTTGAAAATTTTTTCCTCTTTTTTTCTTGACAAGTTTTTACAAAGTAGCCTAGGCTGGTCTACAACTACTATGTAGCACAGGCCTGCCTCAATCTCACAGCAGTCCTCCAGTCTCAGCTCCCAAAATCTAGGATTACAGGTGTGGGCTACCACAACCAGTGATATTTTTCAACAGTTGTAAAACAAATCTAAAAGAAAATACTTAAATGTTAACTCATATTTCCGTGTCTACAGTTTTATTTCAACACTTGCTAAGTAGCAAGATGCCCAAGGCCTAAAAAGCCTAAAATATTTCCATTTGGTCCTTTCTGAACATTGTTCTAAAGTGATGGTTCAAACAGCAACTCCTGCCAGGTGTGGTGGTGCACACCTTTAGTTCCAGCACTTGGGAGGCAGAAGCAGTCAGATGTCTGTGAGCCAGCCTGGTCTACATAGGGAGTTCCAGGCCAGCTGGAAAATATATATATACTGCTTTGCAAAGCTCTCCCCAGAAAGCACCTTCTCCCAGCAGCTAGTGAATCCTCCACAGCACTTGGCCATTCTCTAACCAACAGCCTTCACCCTATTAAGCATGCTGGCACTTCTCACAAACTTTTCACTGTCCAAGACTAGTCTGAAAAATTACAGGTAAAATTTAGTATCTGTTCAATGAAACCAACAAAATAAAGATTACAGTATTTGCCTTGAAATATAAAATAAAGCACAGTATGTTATGGAAGTGGCCATAATATCACTCTAAGATAGGTCAAACAATCTAACCTCTGATTGAACATTATCAAAATACTATTTCAAGGGCTGGAGAGATGGCACAGCAGTTAAGAGCACTGGCTGCTCTTGCAAAGGACCCAGGTTTGGTTCCCGGCACCCACCTGGCAGCTAACAACCATCTGTAACTCCAGTTCCAGCGATCTGATGCCCTCTTCTGATTGCCTCAGGCATTGCACAACATGGGTGCATTCACATACATGCAGGCAATACACTCGTACACATACATAAAAATAAAATATTTTTTAAAATACTATTTCAGCCAGGCGTGGCGGCATACGCCTTTAATCCCAGCACTTGGGAGGCAGAGGCAGGTGGATCTTTGTGAGTTCTAGGCCAGCCTGGTCTACATAGCGAGTACCAGGACAGCTGGGGCTACAGGGAGACCCTGTCTCAAAAAGACAAAAATAAGTAAATAAATAAATAAATACTATTTCAAAGTTATACCATGATACTTGTATATATAAAATGTTACACGATTATGTTGCATTAAATGAGATTCCAGCAAACTTTAAAAATATTTTATTTTTAAAATAATAATCTAATGACTGTCTTACACAAAAATCAAAGTTTCCCAGGGATAGACAGAAAACATGGTTTATCTGTGATCGCAGTTCCAGGGCAGACTAGCAAAAGGCAGGGTATTATACTAAAAAACAGTTGTAGTATTGAAAGAAGGGCCAGCGCAAATATAGAAATGTACCATCTTCGGTTTCTACTCACAGTGGTTTTAAAACAATTCTTATCCATCCTGATAGAGGGGAATCCGTGGTTTGTGATATTCCAAGAAGAGTCCATCCTAAGCAACCCTGTTCACCTGAGCTCTCTGAAGAAATTTGTCAAGACCCTCCCCTCCAGGCTAGTTATTCGTATGTCTCAACTTCCGCTGTAAACTGCGTAGCACAGGGGCAGTCAAGAAAATTGAGTGAGTTGGTCAAGCGCAGCAATCCTAGTACCTCAATATGCTCGGCAGCCCTTCTGACTATTCTTCCTGGACAAAGTGCAGTTGTTTGACAGGAGCCATGGCCTCCCACTCCTCTTACTAGTGCAAACTTTGGTTCAGATACTGAAGAAACATGTTGGCCAACTGAGGCAGGTTCTCATTGTTGGGATGCATTTTAGTGTAAGAAATAAACTGGCGACGGAGGCGACTCAATTCTGCCATGGTCAAGGGCCGGGTAAAGTGGAGGTGCTCGGTGGTGCCAGGAGGACTCAGCAAGTCTCCGGGGACAGCGCTCTTCTGTGCTTCCATCAGCGCAGTCAGCACCTGGCTCGTAACTTGATCCAACTGGTGCAGAAAGCTGCCGGAGGCAAGGGGCTGGGACTGCGTAGACTGATGGGGTGGGGGAGCCCGATTCTCGAACAGTGCGGCCCGGATCTCCGCCAAGGGCAACGGCTCTTCTAACCCCACTACGGTGAACAGAGGTCGGTCCCAGCGGTTCCGAGGGTCAGGAGCCTCAAATCGCAACGCTAAGGACTCCACGAGTTCAGGAGGGAAAAAGCCTCCGGACACGGGATTTGCCGGTTTCTCGGACTCAGGAGGCACCGGAGCTGGGGGCTCTGATGTCCGGATGTCCTCTAGCTCCGGTTCCCCAGCGACGTCGGCCCGGAACCCCCCACTGACCACGGTGCCCGGCATCGAACTCCCGCTGCCCGAGCAGCCCCGGCTCTCGGAGGTTGCAGCCACTTGAGGCCGGCCGCTCGGCCCACCCGGCCGTACACAGTGCAGCAGGCAGAACGGGGTGCGCGCCGCGCGCGTGAGGCAGTACAGCTCGTAGCGGAAGCCCTTGATGTAGTTCACCGAGTCCAGCAGGACCACGGCGCGCCGACTCAGGCGCCGCTCCACCGAGGCCCGCAGAGCGCCGCGCAGGGCCTTCTCACGGGCCGGGTCGCCGTACACGCTCGCGTCCGCCGCGCCCATCACCGAGGCGTCGTCCACCACGTGCACCGCGTGGCCCTCGGCGGCCAGCGCCCGGCGCAGCTCTTCCGTACGACGGCTCTTGCCGCTGGACGGCAGCCCGCAAACCACCACGAGAGGCATCCTCTCCAAGGGCGGCCATGTACGGAAGCTCGCGTCAACTTCCGGAGCGCAGCGGAAGTGCTACCAGAACTTCCGGTTTCCCCTCTCCCTTTACAGGGCCTATTGTTTCTATGGGAACCCTAAACCAACTGAGTCTAGGTCCAACTTTCTTAGAAAGGAGATGCAGAGATTAGAACCGCATCAGTCAGTGATAACCAAAAGTCCTCAAGAGAATATGATTTGCCTGCCGTCAGAGACGATGCCTATCATTAGGATTTAAAGAGCATTAAATTCAAAATGACTAGCACAACATTTGGCATACAAGGACAATTCATAAATGCTGCTTCTCCTTCACACCTACTCTTAGACGTAGTAGATCTTAGTAAACGTTTATTCAGTAACTATTTTAATCTTCAACATCCCTGATCGAGGATTCATAAATGAACATAAAACAAGTCCCCTCTCCCCCAAGATGAAGGGTCTTAATGGGAGCAATCAGGCACCTACACAAAGTTATAAACGCTATGGGTAACTGTATGTTAGTATTAAGAACAGAAGAGAAAAGCTACTCAGAGAGCTCACTGAAAACTTGCAGGAATAGTTATTTGAATTTATTTTTGTTTGTTTTGGAGGGGGGTCCTGGGCCAAGGCCTTGTACAAGAACTCTACACAGGAGCTACAGCCCCTGGGTCAAATTATTTCGATTTAAACTTGAAAAACTAAAGGGAATTCTTCTCTTGGGTAAGATTGCCAAAAACAATACAGGATAACTAATTAAATCTGAATTTAAGCTAACAGTTTTAAAAAGGTATGTAAGCTGCATGGACATATTTAATATTTTTGTCTAAAGTTTAAATTTAGCTGGGCATCTTTTATTTTCATTGTTAAATTTGGCAATTCCACTGCAGAAGGTTTGAGACCCAGTGCCATGAAACTGTAGGATCTGTTCTAGAAATAGCAAGCACTAATTGATAGGCAGAGAAGCATGTTAGCATGTCTGTGTAAGTATGTGTACATAATGTAGGGACATATATATATATATATTGTGATGGAGTAGGTCTCTGGTATAGTACAGTAGAGAAAATGCAAGTCTTGGCTGTTACTTAGTAGTAGTTTAACTAATGGCAAGTAATTTGTTTTCTGTACTTTAATTTCCCTTTCTAGAAAATGGTCATAGTTATTTCATAGATGTACCAATTTCCAAGGTACAGACAATACCTGGTCTTCTCTTCCTTGCTCTGCCTTTTCCTCTTCCTTAAGCTCTGGCTTGACTGTGCATAAACTAGCCCTTCTTCCTGAAACATGACACTGTTTTAACTTTGGTCTAGTAAGTGGTGGTATGGCTCACTGGGTGAGAGATCAGGCTTCTAATGGTGAGAGCACCTGGGTCTGAATCATGACTCTGCTGCTAAATAACTTTGTGATGTTGGGCAAATTAACTTAATTGCTGTGTGGCTTAATTTGGTCCTTTCTAAGTAACAACAATACTTCATAGACATGAAAACTGAGCAAGTTAGTTCATACTATTTAATACATGGTACATAGTAAGGCCTTGGCATGGCCCTTCACCTGAAATTAATGCTAACCTAATGGCTAGAAAGTTTTGTCACCATAATTGACCCAACACCATGTTTTATACCTTGCAGCTGCTTCCTTCTTCCCATCTTCTAGGGTTCTCCAATGAATATGATCTCCAAAGCCTAGGAGAAAAGAGCCTTATAAACAGTCACACAATGAACAAAGTGCATAGTCCCAAGAAAGAAGTGAGGCATGTTTATAATTGATCAATTTAAAAAAATGCTTTCTGCCAAGAGCCTGATGTTCAACACTCAGCTTCACTATTCTCTGGGTATTCTGGACCATGGAAAGCTGCCTTCCCCAAGCCTCAGTTTTCATACCAAAATGGAGATAAATCATCTATTCATAATTTTTTTTTTTTGAGACAGGGTCTCTCTGTAGCTGCAGATGACCTGAAACTCACTGTGTAGACCAGGCAGGCTTTGAACTCACAAAGATCTGTCTGCCTCTGCCTCCCAAGGGCTGGGACTAAAGGCGTGCACTACCGCACCCAGCTTAATTCCTAATTTTTAAGACATGAAACAATGACGCGAAGTGCTTTGTAAACTACCATGAACTATGCCAACAATACTGTAAAAATGAGTGAAAATCTTCCACAGGGCAAACAGAAAGCGTATACACACAGCACGGCTTTAGAGTTATAAAGACATGGGTCTGTAACTCCATTTCTCAATGTGTGGGAATTTTTGAGTCAAGTAAGCTCTCTCAAGTCCTAATATCATCATCTGTATAAATCAAGATATTATCTACCTCTGAATGTTGGTGTAAAGAATGAGTAAAATGAGACTATGTTTTACAGAATTGCCATTATTCTAATAATTTAGCTAGATGATCTTTTTCTTTTTAAAATATTTATTTGTTTTTGTGTATGTATGTGGGCATGTGCGTGCCACGGCCTCCTTGCAGAATTCAGAGGATAACCTATGGGTCCAAGGGATGGAACTCAAGTCACCAGGCTTTGCTGCAAAGCACCTTTACCTCCTGAGCCATCTTGCTGGCCCAGCGTGATCTTTTTCCAGTTATATCACTGCTGAGGAAGAAAATTTTCATAGGAATGAGCTAAAGATGAAGGTTCAGCTCTTGAAGGAGAAATCACAAAGGCTTTATTAAGAAAACAGCTGCCAGCTTCTTAAAGGCCCAAACACAGAAGTACTTTTACCTCTTTAAATGCAGCATTGTACTCTCTCCCCTCCAGGCTTTTTCATAATTGCTCTACCACTGCCTTTCTTCCCCACTCTTGAAGCCAACTTAGCTGTGAGGTAAAACTAGAGGGCATTTCTTCTGATAGGCCTCTGGGTCTCAAGCCATTCTATTCTTCTTTCCCCATAGCACTTCAGGACTCAACTATAACATTTATGTGTCCATGTCCCTCACTCCAAGGGGGAATTCTCTAAGTGCTGGACCCAAACTTCTCGTTTTCTTTACTTCCCTAGCATTTAACAGTACACATGACTCTCACAAGTACTCTATAAAAGAGAATCTTATGTAGGCCAAATCACATAATCTTACATCTACATCCAGAAAAATGTTAGTGATCATAATGTTACTATTTATTTATTGTTCCAAAATTCCATACATACATAATATACATAGATTATATTCCCCCGTTATTCTCTTTGATCCCCTTTCCCTCCCACTGAACCCCTTCTTCTTCCCAGTAAGTCTCCCTCCTACTTTCATGTGTGTTTCCTGCTTCATTAAATTAGGGTTGCTGTGTGAGCATGGGTGAGGGGTTGTTGAGCAAGGGCAACTTATCAGTGTCTGTACCACTGAGGATTATGACTCTCCCTCCCCATTGTCTACATCCACACACAGGGGTAGGGCCTTACCAGCTCCTCCCCATTCATGATGGGATGTTAATGAGCTGTCTTGTGCAGGTAACCATTGTTTCTGTGAGTTAATGGGTAAAACAGCCACATCAAGTTCAGAAGATTACATTTTACATCACTCCTTCCCATCCTCTGGCTCATGCATTCTTTCTGCCCCCTCTTCTGTGATGTTTCCTGTGGCTGCTGTTTATGAACCACCTTATATGTATACAGCCAGTCAAGCCAACCCATATTAACAGTAATCTACTTTTATTTCCCCTCTCTATTTCAGTTTTCTCAGTACTGAAATAGGTGTAAGAATAATGGCATCTCACAAGCTTATTACTGAATAGCAAATATGGAATACAAAAATCTCAGTACAGTGCTTAGCATAAGCATGAGTATGTGGTAGCTTTTGCTATTCTTTACAGCTAAGGCTTCTCTAAATCATACCAGCTGTTCCAGGTTACCTTGCTGCTAAATGGCCAGCAGGGATTTAACATCCAGTCTCGTGGTCTCTACATCTGTCTTTCAGACATTTATTCCCCAAATAAATTCCAATCTAATTGTTATCAGTGATACTACAGGGAAATCAAAGCTTACTTGGGTTAACACATGGGTGCAGTATCCAAAGTAGTCATCATCATTTTCAATCTCAACAGTATAGGCTGCTAAGAGAAAAAATGTCTCATTTGCCTAAGGCTCAACATTTGATCCTGAAGAGTAAATGACTGAGGGTGAAATTGGGAGGATGCCCAGGAGACCTGAAAGCTGCTTGCCTCATTTAACTCATGGTCCCCAAACTTAGATAATTGATCATGCTTTGACAATGTGCCTGACTAAACAGCCAGACGGGATACCCACCTACAAAACAATGAAATCTCAGATAAAACAGATTTTCAGAATGGACTCACTGTGATACTGGAAATCCCTCCACAAACACAAAGAAAGCTAAAATAAGATGAAGAACAAGCAAACCATAAGGCCACCGGCCCTGAAAGCAAACAGCCATTATAATGTGGCAAACAGAGAAGAACCTGAGACTCTTCTACTAAACCCAACCCTCGAAAGAAAACTAGAGTGAGTCCAAGTCCATAGTCCATTTCATTCCCTCCTCGCCCAAACAAATGCTAAATTTTGCTAGAGGGAAGCACTCCCCACTCTAGAGAACCACTATGAGTTCTCCACCATAGATCACTAAAAATCATCAGAAGCAACAGAGTTAGACCATAAAGGCCTTCAGATACTAAGATTATCAACCACAGAATTTTTAAAAATCATATGAAATGTTTAAAGAAATAACTCACAGAATCACAAAATAAATTATCAAATCTAAACCAGGTGTGGTGGCACTCATTTGTGATCCCAGCATTCAAGAGGTAGAGACAGAAGGATCATAAGTTTAAGGTCAGCCTTGGAGTCATAGTGAGTTTATTACTTTGAAGCCAACCTAGGATGTATTAAATTCTGTTTCAAAACAAAGGCCAAGACAGTAGTAAAAAAAAAAATGCTTGCTATGCTAGCATGAGGACTTGAGTTTGAGCCCCAGAATCTATGTTTAAAAAGCCAGGCATGGTGGCATGGGTTTGTAACCCAGCAGTCGAGGAGCAGAGATAGGTGATTTCTTGGTGCCTTGCTGGCCAGCCAGCCTAGCTTACTTGGTGAGACCATGTCTCAGATGGTTAAGAGCACTGGCTGCTCTTCCAGGGGACCCAGTTTCAGTTTCCAGCGCACACATGGCAGCTAATGACCAGCCAGAACTCCAGTTCCAGAGATCTGCTGCCCACTTCTGGGCGTTACATGCACTGGTACACTCACATGCAGGCAAAACACCTATATACATAAAATAAAAATAACTTAAAATTTTTCTTTAAAGCCAGGCATTGATGGCGCACGCCTGTAGTCCCAGCACCTGGGAGGCAGAGGCAGGAGGATCTCTGCGAGTTCAAGGCCAGCCTGGTCTACATAGTGAGTTCCAGGACAGCTGGGGCTACAGGGAGACCCTGTCTCAAAAAGACTAAAAAAAATTTTTTTCTTTAAAAAAGACTAAACAAAACAAAAAAAACAAGATGGACAACACCTGAGGTGTGACACCTGAGGTTTGACACCTGAGGTGTGACACCTGAGACTGACCTCTGACTTGACGTGCGTGTGCATATATGTGTACCTGCATACCCCACACAGTAAGTGAATAAATTAATACTATCAGATCTGTGAAGGCACAAAAAAATCTTTTGAAATTAAAAATACAATTGTTGAAATATAAACAAATGGAAATTCAGTGATTAGAAAGCTATGTCCCAGCACTTGGTGGCACATTCTGTGAGTTCAGGGCCAGCCTGGTCTCCACAGTGAGTTCCAGGCTAGCTGGGGCTTCAGGGAGACCCTGTTTCAAAAGACCAAAAAAAAAAAAAAAAAAAAAAAAAACCAGCTATGGGTAATGAAGTCACAAAGAGATATGGACATTGTTAGAAAGAAAAAAACAGAGACAGCAAAATGACCAGTTGTTGCCAGGTATGAAGGCACACATACAGGTCTGTAATTATAGTTCTAGCACTCAGAAGGTGGAGACAGGAAAATTCCAAGTTCAAGACCAGCCTGAGCTATATCCAAAAGAAGAAAGGAAAGATCAGCAGTTGCCAAGGAGATAACAGGTAGAGCACAGGTTATTTTTTACAATGATGTAAGTTATTTGTAACAAGGGCAATAATTACAAAAAAGTCAAATCTTTTCTGTCAAAAGAATGATCACTGAAACGTAACTTTTGTAATGCTATTTTGTAATCACACACTCCCCTGTAAAATTTTTATTCTAAATGCCCTGCTGTATCTATAAAACTTGAACTTGAAGGCCCAGAGCTGCAAACAACTTCCCCCTTTCCTTCATTCCCTTTGTTCTGATTCTTTTAAAAGTAGCCAATCATGAAAGTGTGAGGTTAGACCCCAACCAAGACAGGAAAGACAGTACTCTTGCATTAGAATAAAAACCTTTTGAACTTCCAGCTCAGTGTGTTGGCTCTATCCAAATGACAATGTACAAGTAAAAGGTACTTTGCCAGGTTACTTCCCTTTGTCCAGTGTTCTTTGTGTGGCACTAGTGAAGTCCTTGGACTTCAGGTAATCTTTTTTTTTTTTTTTTGATTTAATAAAGTTTTATTTTTCCAAATTTACAGTCGGTTGAACCTATTTAGGCACCTTCGCCAGCAGCTGGGGCATCTCCACCCTTTGTGTTTCTGGTGTAAATTACTTGGGCTCCCTGTTTTGAAACCAGTTTGACAAGTCCTTTACTAAGGAGTTCCTGAAGGGTTGCCCTGG